TCAGATGTCTGAGTCATTCTCAGTTAAGAAAAGTTTATGATATGGGAAAATATGTTTCTATCTGCTTTTTTTTTTTTTGAGACCGAGTTTCACTTTTGTTGCCCAGGCTGGAGTGTAATGGCACGATCTTGGCTCACCATAACCTCCACCTCCCAGGTTCAAGTGATTCTCCTGCCTCAGCCTCCCGAGTAGCTGGGATTACAGATATGCGCCACCACACTCAGCTAATTTTATAATTTTAGTAGAGACGGGGTTTCTCCATGTTGGTCAGGCTGGTCTCGAACTCCCGACCTCAGGTGATCCGCCTGCCTCGGCCTCCCAAAGTGCTGGGATTACAGGTATGAGCCACTGCACCCGGCCAGGTCTGCATTTTTAACCTAGCACTTGGCAAGCATCTAAACCTCTCTGAGCCTCAGTTTCCCCCTCTGTCATCTGGGGGTGTAACATGGGCCCTGTGTGGCTACTCTCAGGATTGTCTGGCTCCTGGGACTTTGCAGGCTGATCCCAGGGCACACGGCAGGGACTGCTGCTTCAGTGATGCCCAGCCGCCGGCCTGCCTGACTTGGGTAGACAGACGCACAGCTGTGGCCCCTCCAGGGCCGGAAGCCCACTATACCCAGGAGGCTTTGGGGATGCCCTGCCTCTGTATCTCTCCCTATGGGAGGACCTTGGACCTGGGAGGCTGGGTCTGTCTCCATCTGACTCTGGGGTGGTGCCTTTTCTCCCTGGACCTCAGCTTTCCCATCTAGGGGATGACCCTCAGCTCCCACAGGCATCCTGGAGATGAAATGAAACAGCAGGTGTCACGGACAGCCAGTGACTGAGCTGCTGAAGCAGGAGCAGAGGATAGCAAGGGGCCCTTGGTGGGGAAGACAGGAAGGAGGGCAGAAACAGGCCTGGGATGTGGCCATGATCTCATCACAGGGGTCCACTAAGACCCCCCACACCCACCCAGCGCATGTACCACCCCTGCTGGGCTCTCACCATCCAGGGCTGGGATGACAGTCTTCCTCAAGGCCAGGACCAGCCCCAGCGGGCACCCGAAGAGGAAGAGGTCCGTGATCTCAAAGTCAAACCTGCCCAGGGCACCTGTGCCGTCCAGCATGGTGGAGCTGCTGGAACGGCGTGAGCAGGGCTCAGTCCTCAGCATGCTGGCATGGAGGCTGCAGTGGGGGACGCACGAGGTCACACCACGGCCCCTCTCACAGCTGGCCTTCCCCTAGTCTCACGAGGGACAGGGTGGGTCCCACAGCCCCCAAGAGTCATCAGACCTAACCTAAATAAGACTTAGCTGTATGTGAGTGTAGCTGCCATCATCTGCCAAGACACTGCTGGTGGCACCCAACCTCTCTCGGGGGCCCACTGGCTTCGGGACAGCCCTGACCTGGACCACCTGCCCCTGGTCCATTCTGCCCCCAACTCTGCCATTCCCCACCCTCACCCTCAAAACAAATTGCTCCCTCAGGCCTGAGATGGCCCTTGGTGTATATGAGACAAGGCACCCAATAAGCCACTTTCTCCTGGGCCCAGACTGGGATCCCAGGTCTCAGGCTGGGGGAACCTCAGGCAGAGACCCCAGGCCTCCCGTTGGCCATCGCGGGGGACGCTCCTCCCTCTTGGAGCCTCTTCCTGCACCCAGAGGCGAGCCCCAGCCCCCCAGCCCCGCCCACCTGGACAGGAAGGCCTGGTGCTGCTGGATGGTGTCTAGCTCATAGGTGGACGAGTCGCTTCTCTTGCGGGGTAGCTGCCTTTTGGGGTCCTCGGTGCCATTGCTGCGGGGGATGTCGACGTTGCTTCGGCTCAGGTGCCGACTGCTCTCCAGGCTGGAGCCACCACTACTGCCACCACCACCACTGTTGCCACCACCGCCACCGCCACCACCGGAGCAGTGTGCTGCATTCACCAGAATGCCCGGGGACAGCAGGTCGTTGTCCTGGAATGGCCCCATGGAGGCTCACTGCCAGGTGGCCGCTGGCCTGATCCCTTCTCCAGCATCCTGGAAGCTGCCTCCTCCCTCCTAACCCCAGGCCCAGTGGCCACAGTCCAGCCGGCCTCTCATCAAACCAGAGGGGAGGGCCCCTGTTCCCTTCTGTCCCCCCACCCACAAGCCACCCTGGACCTCATTGGTCTACAGGCCATTTGCCACTGTGCAGCAGAGGCAGGGAAGCAGAGAGGGGTCGCCCATCCCACCTCCTAGGAACCAGACCCCACTGCCCACAGTGCCGACCCTGGTTCAGGCTCATGAAACCACTCGCATTCCTAGGCTTGGCCACGTGGCAGCTGTTCCCCTGCCCCCATGCACCTGCCCTGCCGCCTCTGGGCACCTGTGCTGCCAACCTCTGCCCTTCCCATCCTTTTTTGGAGAGGTGAGGGGAGAGAGATTGTGAGAAAAACTGCTACAGCTCTTTCAGGGCCCAGGCACTTTCCCCAACTCTTCAGCCAGAATGGGTTGGGCTTCCTCAGCTCACCTGCACCCCCAACTCCTCCATAGCCCCTGCCCTGGAGGTGAGCTCTGGCAGCAGGGCTGGGGTTCAGGGGCTTGGAAAATGTTTGTTGAATGAACGGAGCTTAACTGGGTAGAGTCCAAGCCAGCTGGACTCAGGAAGTGCTGCCAGCATTCTGCTTGGTGGGCACAGCCTGGGGCCAGGTGCAGGAACAGGCAGGGCAGTGACCCTGGGGGCATGCAGGAGGCTTCAGGCCTTGGGGAATGTCTGGGCCCCCATTTGGGTACCTGCATGCTGACCACACTGCCCCGGCGGCTGCTGCTCTGACTCTCAGACACCGGCTGGTTGCTGTAGCATAGGGCATCAAATGCCAGGATGCCCCCGACGCAGTCCCCAATCAGGCAGACCTTGGGGTAGAGGGGCCAGAGGCCTGAGCCGTTCACCCACTCGCTGGACTACAGGCTGGGGAGGCCATCACCTTCCCCTTCAGGCCAGCCCGCCCTACAGGGTCTTCCATCCTCCTCCCCTCCCCAACCTCCCCGGGACTCACCTGCCCATTGAAGGTCATGCCCTCCTGGGACTTGATGAAGTCCCCATACGCAAGGTTGGCTCGCTGAATCACTGTGGCAACCGCCTCCTGGTACTGGGGGGAGGAGGTGGCCAGCAGGGGGAGGGCAGCCAGGGGAATGTGGTCCTGACTGCTGGACAGACAGCCTTCGTCATGGCTGTAGGGGCTGAGGCTGGGGAGAGGGGCCAGTCAAGAGAGGGCAGGCGGCTCCAGCTCAGCCCAAAGGGCCCCTCTCCCCTGACCCGAGTCTCAGCCATGGACTCAGCTCACGCTAGTGATAACCCTTCCTGGCCAGGCCCTGGGTAGGCTTGGGGGACCAGGGTGAGTAAGACCCCATGTCTCAGAGGCAGGCCAATATCCCCACATTACACGTTTGGAAACGAAGGCTCAGCCATGGGCCCAGCCCTCCTGGGACTTGAGGCTTAGCCTGCATGTATATGTTTGGGCACCTCCAGGTAGAAGGGGCTGGCTGGTGGGTCTGGACATTGAGGCAGGAGTCCTGAAACTGGGGAGCCACCTGAGGCTGGGAGGACGACAGTGCACAGCCGGAGGCTGCAGTCAAGGGCAGGTGCCACTCACTTGGAGACCAGGGCAAAGGCGTCAGAGCAGACAGGCGGGCAGGGCACCAGGCGGATGGCAAGGCGGCCCAGGGCGCTGGGGTAGTGCACGCGTATGACGGTGTCGAACACGTTGGCGATGGTGTTGGCATCACCCTTCTTGGAACTGGGGTCCCCAGCGCCCGTGTCCAGGATGGTGCCTCCGTGCAGCACCAGTAGCAGCACGTGGATCTTGGAGGGCGGTGCAGCCAGCGGCTGGCTAACCTCGTCCTGCATGGGTTGGGGGGCAGTGTCAGCTCCCCAGGGAACCCAGCTCCTTGCTGAGGCCCCTCTGTCACCCTTGGTGGGGGTGTGCCTGTTGCACACAGCCCAACTGTTCCCTCTGAGAACCCCAGTTGGTTATTCAGTCCTGGGGTCTGGAGTTTGGCTGCCTTAACCCCTCCCCTGGGACCCTTGCTGGGACTGGAGCCTGGAGGAGGAGTCAGGGAGGTGGGCCTGTCCACTCCTCCTCCTGCAGCCCTGCCCCTGTCTGCCACCCTGACCAGGGGTGCAGACGCCATTGAGGGAGTCCACTCCTTTGAGAGCATGAGCTCTGCTTCCTTCAGGGAGCCCAGGCAGTGGCTTCTGGGGATTCCAGCTTTAAGGGGAGGCAGAGGCTCAGCCTGGTCTTGGCCTTGGGGGCTGCCTGCCCTGTATGTGTCTGTCTTGGCGTGAGCAGACAGGGCCACCACCAGCTCAAAGTTACAGAGGTCACCTGAGAATGGCCGGGGTCAGGGCATCCACAGCCTGGGTGGGTGGCAACCCCAGCCCCTCTGTCTGCAGCTCTGAGCTCTCCCCCAAGCTACACAGGGCCTCCTCCCCAGGCCCCCACCCTAAGGCTCTGCCATTCCTGGCCTCTCTCTAAGACCAGGGTCTCCAAAAGGAGAGGTGTCCTGGTGGGGATGGAGCCCTAGCACCTTAGAGAGGAGACCGATCAGATTTCGAGAGGTAATGACACCACCTTCCTGCAGGCCAGGCCTGCCTATGAGGTCAAGGTGAGACCCTAGACCTGCACACCTGTGTAAGGGCTACAAACTGCTCCAGGCTAGGGGACTGGGCTAATATCACACGATGTGTCAGTGCTAGGCTGGACCGGAACCTGAAGCCTCTGCCACAACTCAGCACTCTCCTGCCAGGCCAGGCTGTGGCCCTGTCCCCAGAGGTCACCCTCCCCTGCCCCAAGCTTCTGGTATGTGACCGGAGGATAGCAGCAGGGCCAGGGCCCAAGAGGGGCCACTGATAAGTACTTGCTGTGTCCATATGATGTCTGGGGTGTGGGGGCAGGGAAGGGAGCTGAAGGGAGAGTCCTGCCTCCAAGAACCCGAGGAGACAGACCAAGGAGCCAAAGCCATCTAGAGGGCCTATGGTGGGGACAGCTGGCCATGGGGTAGGGGTAGCACCAGGACCCAGGTGCCAACACAGGTTGGGTGGGTGGGGAGGGTAGGGGCTGGACCCAGGACTTAAGAGGCTACCAGGTGGCTGGGAGCAGTGGCTTGAGCCTGTAATCCCAGCACTTTGGGAGGCCGAAGCAGGCAGATCACTTGAGGCCAGGAGTTTGAGACCAGCCTGACCAACATAGCAAAACCCTGTCTCTACCAAAAATACAAAAATTAGCCAGGCATGGCTGTGCACATCTGTAATCCCAGCTACTTGGGAGGCTGAGGCAGGAAAATCATTTGTACCCAGGAGGCAGAGGTTGCAGTGAGCCGAGATCGTGCCACTGCACTGCAAACTGGGTGACAGAGTGAGATCCTGTCTCAAAAAAAAAAAAAAAAAAGAAAAAGAAAGTGGCCACCAGGAAGGGCAAGGGAATGGATGGGCTGGGCCAGGAGCCACTGAGCATCAGGAAGCCTGGTGGGTGCTGCTGAGCTGGAGGAGGAAGGCTGGGCTGCCCTCACCCCAGGAGGAGCCACGGGGCTTCCCTCTTCTTCCCAGGGGCCAGCGCAGGACCGACACTTGTCCTCACATGGGGACTAGCCACCACTGGTTGGCCTGGACACAAACACACTCAGCCCAGGGCAGAGGGGGCCACCAGCTGCCCAGAACACAGGGCAGGAGGGAACAACATGAGCCCTATCCGGCTTTGACAAGGGTTTTATTTGCAGTCCAGTGAGGCAAAGGGTTTATGGAAGAAATGTCTTATGCAGCCTCCAGGACAGGAAGATGATGTCCAGTGGTACTGAGTCACCAGGAGACGGGCAGGGCTTGGCACTGGGGGCCGAAAGAATCCTGCATAGGCCTATCTGACTGGGCTCAGTCCTGGAGACGACCCAGGGGCCCCCAGAGACCCCTAGAACACAGTCTCCCTACTACACTCAGCCTGCTTTCTCCAAGGGGACATCATGTCTCAGCCCGAGACAGGGACTCACCCTCCCCTGGGCTCTAGTGGGGGCTGAGCCCCCTGCAGCTATAGAGGCATCCCCCTACTAGTGTCTCCGCAAGGCCAGGAGCAGGGGCTCCGGTTTGGGGGTTCTTGCAAGCAAATGGATTTGGCTTTGGATGGTGGTGCCCCAGAATCAGTGCTGGGTTCTGAACACACACCCCAAGGCAGATCCAGAGCCCCAGGCCCCTTCTGCCCCTCCCCTGGGGGGGCGTCAGAGCTGTGTGTGCTGCAGGTGGGGAGGGGGCTCCGTTTGCTTATCTAGACATTAAGCAGCAATTGGAATCAACTCCCCTTATTCCATGACCCCTTCTAGAAAGCCCACCTCGGCGTCAGACTGCAAAGCAGAAAACCACAGGAGGGGGAGGCTGTGTGGATGTCCCTCCTCCTCCCCCAGACTCCCCAGGGGCCCGAGTTCCCCACAGAAGTGGTGCTGCCTCCACCTTAGGCAGCTTGAGGCCAGAGCAGTGCGGTGACCGCAGGTGATGGTGGGACAGCCCAGCTCAGCCCTGGCTCCTGTCCCAGTGCAAACAGCTCTGACGGCCCGCAGGTGGAGGAGGATGGGGCGTGAACTCCCACAGAGAACCCCCGAAGCGGACACAGGCGCTCTACCAAGACAGCTTTATTGGACACACTGAGCTCCGCCTGCCTCCCGCGGGGCCATCTTGTCGGCCACGGCCACATCACTTCTGCCTAGACGACTGTCGCTTCCTCCCTTTTCGTCTTTTTATCTTCAGGGACAGCAGACAGGCTGGGCACAAGGTGAAGATCTTATTTTTGATCTGGAATTTACAAGTTTCTCATTTTACTTTCCCATGGGTGGAGCTTGGATAAGGTTTTCTCAGGGGTTGTCTGTAGTCCCTGGTTCTTGGGGACCTCAGAGACAGAGGGCGGCAGGCGCCTTCCTAGCAGGGCAGCAAAAAAGGAGGCCCAGGCCTCTCCCCGGACAGTACCCAGGCAGGTGTGGAGGTGAGGCTGCCAGGCCCAGAGTTCCACCGCTGTAGCCCCTCAGACTATTCCTCTGTGCCCTGTCCCTCCCTTGGCGGCCGTGCCCCTGTCCCTCTGACACCCGGGCACCCACCTCTATGATGTTCAGCTGCTCCACACTGGAGGCCACCCTGAACTCAGGGGCGCTCTGGCGGTACAGACCATCTGCAACAACACAGAAGCCGTGCTGTGAGCTAAGGGGCAGCCCAGCCTGGCCGACCGGACGGAGGCTGCAACCGTGACGAGGGGAGCTTGGGGGCCCCCAATCCCCATGTATGCCCAGCACTGTGCAGGAGCTGGGTCAGAAAGGAGGGGGCTGAAGCCCTGCAGCCACCCTCCCCAGGCTCTGCAGCACCCCCAGACCTGCTGACCTTGTGTGTCTTCCGGCTCTGGGCTCTCGATCTTGTCCATGAGGTCATTGGAACTCCACTTGGTGATGTCCTTGGGGAACATTTCCTCTGTGTCAGACAGGTCCTCTGGAGAGGAGAGAAGGAAACTCAGGTGGGACTGGGAACAGTGGGGAGGCCCGGTTTCCCGAGGTGGGGACGCCCCTATGTGCCCCTGTGTACCCCTGTGTTTGGCTCTGCTCTGACCCCTCCTCAACAGGACGGCCGCACAGCCCCACACCTTGGGCTTCTTCCTGACCATTAAAAAAATAGTGGTAACACTCACATAACAAAAATCACCATTTATAAAGTGGCATTTAGTATATTCACGATGCCGTGCAACCATCACCACTATCTAATTCCAGAACATCTTACTTCCCTAAATGGAAGCCCCATATTCGGGAGCAGTGAGTCCTCAGTCTTGCCTTCCTTAGCCCCTGGCCACCCCCAATCAATTTTCTGTCTCTACAGATTTGTCTATTATGGACATTTCCTATAAATGGAACCATACACTTGTGTCTGGCTTCTTGCACTCAGCATAGGGTTTCTGGGGTTCCTCTATGTTGTAGCGTGTGTCAGATGCTTCATTCCTTTTTACGGCTGAACCATAGTCCATTGCATGGACACACCACTTTTGTTTATCCACTCATCAGTTGATGTTCCTGTTTTTTTTTTTTTTTTTTTAAATGCTATATTGGCTGGGCGCAGTGGCTTATCCCTGTAATCCCAGGACTCTAGGAGGCTGAGGCGGGTGGACTGCTCGAGATCAGTTCAAGATCAGCCTGACCAACATGGTGAAATCGCATGTCTACTAAAAATACAAAAATTAGCCAGGCATGGTGGTGTGCACCTGTAGTCCCAGCTACTCAGGAGGCTGAGGCAGGAGAGTCACTTGAACCTGGGAGGCGGAGGTTGCAGTGAACTGAGATCGTGCCGTTGCATTCCAGCCTGGGTGACAGAGCAAAACTCTTGTCTCAAAAAAAAAAAAAAGCTACATTTAGGCTGGGGGTGGTGGTTCATATCTGTAATCCCAACACTTTGGAAGGCCGAGTCAGGTGAATCACCTGAGATCAGGAGTTCAAGACCAGCCTAGCCAACATGGCAAAACCCTGTCTCTACTAAAGATACAAAAATTGGCCAGGCATGGTGGCATGTGCCTGTAGTCCCAGCTTCTCAGGGGGCTGAGGCATGAGAATCACTTGAATCTGGGAGTCAGAGATTGCAGTGAGCCGAGATCACACCACTGCACTTCAGCCTGGGCAACAGAGCGAGACTCCATTTCAAAAATAAATAAATAAATAAAAATAAAAAATGCCACATTTACTTTATTCCATCTTTACCATTTTTTAAATTTCTTATATATTTTATTTTTTGAGGTCTTGCTTTGATGCCAAGGCTGGAGTGTAGTGGCACAGTCATAGTGCCACTACAGCCTCGACCTCCTGGGCTCAAGTGATCCTCCCATCTCAGCCTCCCGAGTAGTTGGAACGACAGGCATACGCACTACACTTGGCTAATTTTTTTATTTTTATTTTTGTAGGGACAAGGTCTCTCTATGTTACCCTAGCTGGTCTTGAACTCCCAGGCTTAAGCGATCCCAAAGTGTCAGGATAACAGGCTTGAGCCACCATACCCAGTTCCTGTTTTGCTAAATTGACAAATAATCATAATTGTACATATTCATGGGGTACACAGTGATGTTTCAATACACCAGTGTATGGTGATCAGATTAGGGTAATTAGCACATCCATCATGTCAAATATTTATCATTTCTTTGTGTTGGGAATGTTCAATTTCTATCTTCCAGCGATTTGAAATTACATATTACTGTGGTTTAAAAAAAAATTTTTTATGTTTGGTATTGACAGGGTTTCGCCATGTTGCCCAGGCTGGTCTCAAACTCCTGGGCTCAAGTAATCCACCTGCCTCAGCCTCCCAAAGTGCTGGGATTATGGTGTTAGCCACTGCACCTGGCCTAATACATTACTGTTAACTCTAGTCAACCTGCAGTGTCACAGAACTAGAACTCATTCCTCCCATCTAGATATAATTTCATATCCTCTAACAGGTCTCTCCCTGTCCCTCCACAAAAGCACAGCTTCAGAAGCGCTGCTATGAACACCACCTCCAAGACTCCTGCTTCCGCTCCTCTGAGAACTTCTGCCCAGGACCACCAGGCTCATGGCTACCGTCTGACTCTGGCACTCGCTGGCCCTCCTCCAGCTCTGGATGGGCTCCTGGGCCCATTTCCCCAGAACACTGCTGCCCTGGTACTTCCTGCTTTGCTGTCTCTTTTACAGCATTTTCTACGTTAAATATGTATTTTCCTCTCATCAGGGTCAGAGAGCCACCTGGGAGGGGTGAGACGCCAAGAGGCCCCTTCTCCATCCTGGGCAAGGCCCCTGGTGCAGAGGCCAGCTCAGGAGTCCCCAGTCACCATTCCAGGTCCTCCAGTTCCAGGGCCAAACCAGGGCCTTTCTTCTGCCTGGACACTGACTCCCCAGGTTCCTTCCCTTGATGGCAGCTGGCCAGTTAACCAAAATGCCACCTTATTTGGCTCCTGTGCCCCTCCAAGCCACAGTGGTGACATGAGATCTGGTGCTGCCTGTGTCTGCTGAGTGCCTATGGGCTCGCCCCCGTCCCTTTCTGAACCTCTGACCTGCTGTGTGAATTTTGGGCTGGCTCAGCCACTGGCTTGCAGAGGGACCCAAGCCCCCAACCCCTATACCCGCTGGCCCCTCCGGCTTCCTGGAGCGGAATGGCTGGGGCACGAAGCAGGCGAGCACTGTATGCATGCCTCTTCCTGGCACAGGTGGTGCATCTGCTGTGTGGTCATGCGCTTATTTTGGGACAAGTGGGAAAATGGGCACTTCACATGTTTTCTGCTTATTGCATTTCCTAAAGTGCCTGCATTAGATGTGGTATTAATTTAATCAAGAAAAAATAAGGTAAGTACAAAAAATTAGAAAATTAAAAGAAGTTATGCTTCCATGGAAATAAATTCACATACGGAATAAAGCTGTAGTCTGATGGCGTATCCTTATTTGGGGTTTCAAGAGCGCAGTCCCCATCTGCCAGGCCCACAGCACATCCTGATATCAGGTTAGGGTAAGACTGAGACCCCAGACTCAAGGGAACAAGATGACTTCATCTCATCCTCTGTGCATCGCCCCAAACACCATGCTGTCCACCTGGGACAGCGCAGGAGTAGGGACCGGATATAGAACAGTAACAGGCAACACCGGTATCAGTCCACACCCACACCCTAAGCCCTTTCAGACCCCTCCACACCTCGCCTAGGAAGGCCCCAAGGACTGCAGGGCGCTGCCTGCCTACCGTGCGCATCGAAGAACTCGTCGTCTGAGCTCTCGTCCGAGTCCCTGGCGATACTCTGCATCCTCCACTCCGAGATGCTGTGGCGGGAAGGACTCGCTGGAAGGCAAAACCTCAGAATGACCGCCAACTGGAGAGGAAGGGCCCAGAGGCTGCCCTGAGCTGGCAGGAGGCAGGGAGGGCAACCCACAGGCCTGACAAGCATCGCAGAGGCTGCCACAGGAGCCAGGAAGGTTCCAAAGAGAATGAAGTGGGTAAATGAGTGAGGAGCGGCCTAGGCTCATCTCCTGTCTGCCTGGCAAAAGGCAGTCGTGTCCTGGGGAGCATGTGTGGGGAAGAGCATGACAGACATAATCCCAGGACATGGGGTGAGACAGGCCTGGGTCCACTCCTGGACCTCTGACCTCAGTCTGACCAAGAGCAAACTCCTGAAATTCGGACACAGCAGGGCCCAGGCGGGAGATGAGTGAGCCAGGCCTGCCTGCTGGAGAAGCTGGCTCCACCCAGGATGCCTGGGTTGATCCTTTCTCTCAGGGTCTGAAGTCTCCCAGGGTCCCCATCAGGAGGGATGGCCCCTCCACAGCACTGCAGGAGCCCAGCCACCTCCACTGGCTCCTATGGGCAGCACTGTCTTCCCTGGGCATGGAGGGGAAGTGTTGGGGAGCCTGCTGGGGCAGGGTCCAGGCTTCCCCGTGTGGGAGGACTAGCCTAGGGCTCTGACTTCCTCTGGGCTTGGTGCCCATCGGAATGTCCATCGGAAAGGACTCTGAGGAGGTGCAGTGATCCAGCAGTAGGTGGGGCTGCCTTGTGGGGAGGGACCTTGAGTGTGGATGGCAGGTGGCGCAAGGGCTTACCTCCCCGCTTGGACGACCGAGACGACTTGGAGGATGTGGACCACTGTTTCTTGAGGCCCCGCCCCACCAGGGGCTCCCCATTGCTGCTGCTGGGCTCCGGGGGCTCCCCAGAGGCCTGGTCCGAGGCGGCTTCGTGCTTGACGAGCTCGGTGGCCTCCTCACCATCCTCATTGAACTGGGCCATCTTGCGGGAAAGCATGAGCTGCGCCTCCTTCTCCAGCTCCCGGATGTTCTCCATGCTCAGCCCATACCACTCGTCCTGCCAGCACCAGGCCTGCCGGTGAGCCCGCACCATCACCCTCCGTAGTCCTGTGCCCCCACGGGGATTGGAGAGGGAGAGAGAAGAGGGGATGGAGGTCAGCACAGGAGCCTGCACGGAGGTGTGGGCCCAGGCAGGGGCTTTAGGAGGCTGCACCCATGTTGCAGGTCAGACTAAAGTCACTGCCTGTCTGTGCCTCAGTTTCCCCATTTGTAAAATAAGGGGACTGGCTCACAGATGTTCTCACAAGCTCACAGTGGTTCTATAATTAGAGTGGAGGGGCCTCCCAAAGCAATGTGTCCGGTCAGAAGCCATAGTTGGAAGGGTGCAGTGGCTCATGCCTGTAATCCCAACACTTTGAGAGGATGAGGTGGGAGGACAGCTTGAGCCCAAGAGTTCAAGAACAGCCTGGGCAATGAAGCAAGACCCTGTCTCTATAAAAAAAAATTAAAAATTAGCCAGGCGTGCTGGTGTGTGTGTAGTCCCAGCTACTCTAGAGGCCAAGGTGGGAGGATCACTTGAGCCCAGGAGAGTTTAAGCCTGCAGTAAGCTATGATTGTGCCACTGCATTCCAGCCTGGATAACAGAGTGGGACCCTGTCTCTAAATAGGTAAATAAATAAGAAGCCACAGTTAATTTTCTGGGAGTTTCCTGCCACAGGGGAGGCAGAATAGGACTTCCTGAGAGTCTCCTGTCTCAGTGTCTGGTATATTTTTCCTGTTGAATTTCCCATGGAAAATCCAGTTCAAGTTCAAACTGGGTTGGTTCTCCTTTTCTTTTGTTTTTAAAAAAATGCTTTTAGTAGAATATATTATGCACATGAGATATATAAGCATATATTATACATATAAATTAAGATGTAGAATAACGTAAAAAATATATACCTTTTAAAGTGTAAAAAACAATTAAAGGGCCAGGCATGGCAGCTCACACCTGTAATCCCAGCATTTTGGGAGGCTGAGGTGAGAGCATGGCTTGAGGCCAGGAGCTTCAGACCAGCCTGGGCAACACAGGGAGATCCCCCATCTCTACCAAAAAAGACAACAACAAAAAAATAGCCAGGCATGGTGTTGTGCGTCTGTGGTCCCAGCTACTTGGGAGGTAGAGGTGGGGGGATGGCTTGAGCCCAGGAGTTTAAGGCTGCAGTGAGCCATGATCATGCCACTGCACTCCAGCCTGGGTGACAGAGTAAGACCCTGTCTCAAAATAGTAATAATAATAATAATAATAATAATAGAATTACAAAGACTAAAAGCAGACTGGGGATTGCCTTGGGCCAGGGTGGGATGGGGATGACGTGAAATGGGAACAAAGGACCTTCTGGGGTGATGAATGCTCTGAAGTTGTGCCCAGCTGTGAATATATTAAAACTTACCAAACTGTTATCTTACAATGAGTGAATCATATGGTATCTAAAATTATGCCTCAATAAAGCTGTTTAAAAAACATTAAAAAGCAATGAGACATTCACATCCACAGCCCCGGCGAAGGAACACACCATCACCAGCGACAGGGAGCCCTCCACTCGCCCGGTCCCTGACAGTTGGTCCTGAATTTTGCTTGTCATGTGCTTTGCCTTCTGGTCTCAGCACACAGATGTGTTTTCCTGCACACTGTATCAGGCTGGTGTGGCTGTTGCTGAATTTCGCAGCTATGTATCACGCTGTATTTTTCCGCCACTTGCTTCTCTGGGTGAGTTTTGTCCATGGATGCGCGTGGGGGCTTTGGCTCATCAAGCTGGGACCGTGTGGCACCCGTGTGTGTGTGAAATGCCACATTCCATTGATTCCTTTTCCTGCCAATGGGCCTTTGGCTAATTTGCATTGTTTCTCCATTTTGCTTTCACAAACCTGCTGCTCTGAACATTCCAGAACAGGCATGGGGATTTCTCCAGGGGACAAACCCGGGAGAAGCAATCTCAGGGCATGTACCCCTGCCTCCCCTAGAGCATGCTGAGCGGCTTTGCGAGCAGTTGGGCCATGCCAGCCTCCCAGGCTGGTCTCCTGTGCACCCTCTTTTCCTGCCTCCTCACTTCCCACCTCTGGCTTTGCTGAGTCTTCCTTTCTAAATCCCATCCATTCTTAAAGACATCTCTGTGGGATGGAGTCCTGTGTCCCCTGCCAAGTCCCAGGGGGGCCTCAGGTGTGGCACACTGAAGAGCCTTGGTTTCCTTTTCTGGGACCGTCTGCTGGCCTCACAGGGCTGCCAGGAAGGGCCGCATCCCTTGCTCTACCCTATATAGGGAAATGTCTCCTCCTGGGGTGAACGGAAGGGCTGGGACATGCACGACATCTGGGGCCACGCAGTAATGAGGACAGCTGAGAGCTGTCCCAACTCCCAGGAGTCACCTCCTCAAGGTCCCCAAGAAGCTCAGCGCAGCTCACATGAGTTCATGAGATCATCCCCGTGATGTTATAGGACTAGTGCTCACAGTTGTCATCAAGCCCCACCTATGTGCCACACCCCATCTTCGGTTCTGAACTCACGGTCTCAGCCCACAACAGTCCGATAGGATTGGTGTCATTACACCTATTTTACAGAAGATAAAAGCAAAGCTCAGTGAGGCTGTGAGACCACAGAACCACTACGTGTGAGTCAGGCCTGGACTCCAAAGTTGTCTTCTTTCTTCCCACCAGTCACAAGTTCCTGCTTTCTGAGGGGAGAACTGACTTTCAGGGAGCAGGGGAGTCTCTGCAGCTTGGCCAGGATCTCAGCTGCTGCGTAGGGCTGGGGAGGGTCAACGGGACCCACAGAGCCGGATGCCAGGAGCTGCAGCCTTAGTAGGTCTGCTGGGTGTCCTGTGCAGGGCTGAACCTAGAGAAGCCTTGAGGAGAGAACCCTCAAGTCACCAGCGCTGATGTATTCAGGTTCCTGAGGTCGAGAAGGGCAGTAGGGGATGCCTTGCCCAGGATCGGTGAGCCCCTCCCAGTCCTGCCCATATGCTCCTCCACTCCTCATACTCCCTGGGAAGTGAGAACCACCACTCCCATTTTGGGACTTCAGCACTAGGGTTGCAGGTCCCAGTCTGTGAGCCCTGGGTAATGGAGAGAGGCAGGTTTGGGCCAATCTAAGCTCCCAAGGGATTAGAGAGACGGATTGCAGGAATGCATCCCTCTCAATGGATGGGACAGCTTCTTTCTCTTCCTGCCACCTCTCCCAGCTGCTGACTGACACTGAGGTAGCCCTTCTGGAAAAAGAATGGTGGACAATGTGTCTGAGGGTTCTTCCCTGGGGATGGAGGTGGTGACATCATCACACCCGTTGAGGCCCCGTCCACATCTCTGTTTCTCCAAATGGAAGACCATGTCCTCGGACCCCAACCCTTTTGGATACACACCCAACCTTCCCTTGGGGTCGCAGTCTCAACACTGAACATGGCTGTCTAGTGAGACACCCCCCTTGCTGATGCTAAGAGCAGGAGGATGTTAATTCAGGACGAGGGTGGCTGGGATGGGAGGCAGATCTCGTTCAGCCCGTGTTGGGTCTCTGCTTCCTCCTGCGTAAGTGGGGTGACAATGCCTACCCTCATGAGTCATCATGAGCCTGTGTGACATGCGTGATGTGTACTGTCAACAGTGTGGCTCTGTTCATTCTTAAATTAAGTCACCCTTGCTCATGGCATCACAAGGTGTCTGGCTGGGGTGCCTTTTGAATCACGGGCCTCAGGGACTGGAACCAGCCCTTGGACTGACGTCATGTTATAACCTCAGCAGAGTGGGGTTGAGGGCTCTAGGTGAGGAAATGGCACTCACTGCACCAGGACACCCAGGCCATCTGCTGTCTACCTGTTCCATGGGCACCTACTCTGGCTAGGCTGGTGTGGGTGTGAAGGCCACTATGAAGTCTGAGACACCCTGCCCCTGGGAGCTTCCAGCCCAAAGAGGGAGTCTGAGCTGTGACCCTGGGTTCTGGGCCTCCTCGAGTAGAGGAAACAAAGGCCTGGGAGCCCAGAGACCCAGGTGAGCAGCAAGGAAGCTGTCCCCAGGGGCTACTCAGACCTGTGGAGTGTGGGCTACACTTTATCAAATGCGAACCAGGTCAGGAATGTCTGGGGGCAGTGCCTAGGGCTTCTTCATCCAGTAACACATACTGTTTGTCTCTGCACGTGCTCGTAGGTATTCATGGATGCCCAAGATAACACATGGTTGCGGGGTAGTGGGGAAGCTGGAAATGGGCTTTGGTGTCACCTTCCCAGAACAACAGAAATGCAGACTCCCAGGCAGACATGCAGAGAGAGGAGGCAGACAGGCAGGTGACAGGAGACAGAAGGGTTGGGTGGCCCGGCCACTGCCCACCCAGCATGGGGTGTGCTCTGTGCTCACCGGTGTCATGGATGAACCTCTCGATCTTGGACTGCATGCCCCAGTAGCGGAACTCCACCTTGCAGAGCTTGTATGCACACATGATGGGGAAGACCTGCTTCTTGTACTCCTCGATCCAGTTGTCTGACAGGGGCCCCCGCTGGGTCTTGGTTGACTGGAACAGTTTGGGGTCCTCTTCTGTCTTATACTCATTGTGGGGCACAGGGTCTTTGACAATGTCGATGAAGTCTGTGGGAAAACCCTTAGAGTGGCCACTTCAGCCCTGACCTCAACCTCCACCCACATCTCCTCTCCATGTTCCTCCACCCCCAAATCCTCCCAGGATTCTGGGCCTTGCCCTGCCAGAGAGACTCTGGGGAGTAAGGATCATGTTCTGGGCAGCTCTGACCTCAATATCCTTGACAATGGGGCTTGCAGTTTCCTTGGTGCATTCATTCATTCAGACAGGGGTCTTGCTATGTTGCCCAGGCTCAAGCACTCCTCCCATCTCAGCGTCCCAAAGTGCTGAGATTACAGGTATAAGCCAATGCACCTGGTCCCTTGTTGCCTTTTCAAGTCATTTCAGCAAAACCCATGTTCTGAGTGCACTACCTCTTGGCAAAGCAGATAAATAAGGCAAAGAGGAAACACTGGGGAGATGAATTTCCATGAAGAATACAGGGTGTGAGGAACAGAAGAGAAGGCTGGGAAAAGCTTCCCACGAAGATGGTGTTTCAGCCAGAGGGGTGGAATCGAGAGGTCAAGAATGTCTCAGTAGCACTGGCCCTTGAACAAGAGGTGGGGGTTTCTGGGGAAGGAACCACCAGGGTGTCTGCGTGGGGAGAAGGATGGCAGTGGTCACAGAGCAATGGGGATGCCCTGGACATGCTAGCCATTTCTCTCCAAGCTAGGAGCCCAGGTAGTGCCCTGAGGGCCAAGTGGACCCAGGTATAGGTCTGAGGTTGAGAGGGACGCAGGCAGGCTGGCCTGTTGGAAAAGCCTTCCTGGACAGAGACCAGAAGAGATGTCTGCAGAAGCCTACAGGGGGTGTCTGGCCAAGCTTGCTTTGGGCTGGGCCTGAGAGCAGAAGCAGATGCCACAGAGGTAGGGGTGCAGAAAACAGGGTTAGGGGCTGACAGGACCTGGTGAGGGTGACAAGAAGAGGGGTGATGGCTCTGGGCAGGACGTAGGCCAGGCCACTTATGATCACAGGCTTCCCCTCCACAGGGGCATCTCAGAGCCCTCCCATGGCCACCTCCCACGGTGGAGGCAGAGCCCTCCTGTGTGCTCACTCCTGAGGCACATGTGTGTTGGACAGGACTGGAGCACTCACTGAGTGAGAAAGAGCCCTAGGAAAGGCTTTGTGGCTCACAGAGCCCTTTTTTATGGTTGGGTCTGCTCTGGCCAGGCCCTTGGCTACCTCATTTTCTCCAATGCATGGGCCCCTCTGTATCCAGGCTGCAGACTGCAGACACAGACATCAGCTCCACCAAAACCAGAAGGGTCAGGAGCGAGTCTGAGAACCATAGAATGCCAGGAGTGATGAGAGCTCTTCCCGGAGCAGACCACATGCCCTGCCCATGCGGGCCGGCACAGGAAATGTCACAGAGACTTAGGACCCATGGCAGCTGGCCTCAGAGGGAGCCTGCAGAGCTCTGGCAGTGTCAGGGCTGCCTGCTATGGGAAGAGCTATGTACCCCCCAACCCCAATTCCTATGCTGAAGTATTAAACCCAGTGCCTCAGAATGTGATCTTATCTAGAGATAAGGTTTTTAAAGAGGTAATCAAGTTAAAAGTAAGGCCATTAAGGTGGGTCCTAATCCAGTATGACTGGTGTTCTTATAAGAAAAGGAGACACAGAGGCAGACAGACACAGAGGGGAGTGACCACGTGGCGACCGAGGCAGAGACTGAGGGATGCTTCTACAAGTCAAGGAGCACCGAGGACTGCCGGCAAGCACAGACACTGAAGGGGCCTGAACAGAGTCTCCCCCAGGGGGAAGAGCCCACATGCCGTGATCTCAGACTTCGGGCCTCTAGAGCCCTGAGAGAAAAACTGCATGTTGTACAAGCCACTCGTGCTATGATGCTTTGTTCCGCAGACCCAGGAAATCCCAGCAGAGGTAGGGGGTTGGGCCTGGAGCAGTTCCTGGGGCATGGACACCCACCCCCAACCTGGCATGCCCTGCTGAGATGCCTCCACGGTGACTTGGGCCTTGCATCCAGAGGTTGCAGGAGGGTGGCTGCTGAGCTGCACTGGCCCACATATGTGTTTTGTTTGACTGGCATAAATTTATTTACAAAGATTTCTAATTGGTTGCTAACATTTAGTATTGGGAGATTTCTCATGAAAATCCTTATCACTGGCTTCTCTTGAAAACGAAGATCTAACAAATGGTGCCCATTCCCTGAATGTCACTGTCATCTGGAGGCAGTGGGTAGGGCATCCGCCATCAGGAGGTCATAGACCCCATCGTGTGCCAGGGGCACTTGTGCATGGCTGTCAGCTAGAGATGGATCCCCAAGCACACGTGTACTTCTGGGGAGTAGGGATACCTCAAAGGGATGGAGGGAAGTGACTCTGGGGGCTCTGGGTAGAAAAGGCACTTGGACTTGGTATATACATCAGGAGAATGGGGCTGAGGAGGCCTGTCCTGCCTCCCCCATGGGCCCCATGCTTGCTCCAACTCTGACTTGCCTGCCCAGGACAAGGCCAGGTCTGGAGTCTACCAGGTGTAAGGAAAAGGGGCAGGACAAGAGGGGCCTGTGGGTAGGAAATCCAGAGTATAGCCCTGTGGGGCTCTGCCCTTCCTGGTTACCGATTGTCAGCTGGTTCTTTTCCACAGGAGAGAGGTTGAACACATCGGGGTTTTCTCCAGCATCAGTTTTATAAAAGGTTTCGATGTCGATGGAGAATTTCTCCACGAAAGGGCAGGTGAACCTGTGTGGGAAGGAAAGCACCCATCAGGACCTGTCCTTGGAGAGGCCCAGTGTAGCTGGCCAGGGCCTGTTGACCCACTGGGTAGGAGTGGAGCCAGTGAGCGGGCATAGAAGGAGGGTGGAGGGTAGCCAAGACTCGCCTGCCCCGTCTACCTCCTGGACCGCCACTTTGTCCCAAGAACAACCAGGATGGGGGCAGGGAAGGATTTAGGGGGACAGGAAGACAGTACATCTTCGGTGGCTTCTAGAAGCCCCATGTCCAATGTCCACAGCATGGCAGGAACACAGGAACAGCTATGGCAGCATACTGCCAAGCAGGAGGAAGCTGGGGTGCTCCATGGGGCATGCCATCCCTAGTTCCCAAGAAGCCAGCTCTGGTAATGGGGGAATAGCCTCTCTCTAGGCTGGAGATGAGCTCTGAGGGGAAAGTACTACTGGGAAGAGGAACAAGCTCTGTGGATCCCTAAGTAAGTTCCAGGTGCCTACCAGTGTGGGGAAGGGAACCCCAGGAGATTTGTGGGGACCCTACCTGCTCAGCAGTAGGCAGCTGGTGGAACCAGCCCCCATCTATCCAACTCAGCAGTGCTGAGCTACACACTGGGGGACACAGAGTGAAGAACCCTCTGCCAGGAAATCCCAAGGACAGCCCTGCTCAGCATGGGATGTGGGACAACACTGTCACAGCAGCTGAAGGTCTCCGAGTTGAAAGGGACCTCTGTGTCATCTGGTCTACCCTCAGTTTCTTTCCAGCAGGCTGTCTCGGCCTTCTTAGGGAGCCTGAAGTAGGTTTATATTCCCTGCATCTTCTGGGATGGCAAAGGAGTCTCCAACAGCCCTCACTTGACTCATGCCTTCATGGCCTCCACACGTGAGGAGTCAGGAGGCATTTCAGGGTGCATCCTTCCCTCTCTTGCCTGTGCCTGCCCTGGGTGACCTTCGGGGCACCTGTATGGAACAAAGCCTGGGCTCCCTGGGGTTATGGGGTGTTGAGCCTGCTTGAAGGCTGATCCCATCCCCTGGATCTATGCCACAAGGCTGCTTCCTGCCAGATGGCATGTGGAGGTGGGAGGCACATGGAGGCCAAAGCAGGCGCACCTGGTTCGGGTGTAGGGGTAGGCATTCCAGGACTCCTCCACCACCCGCAGGGCTGCCTTGGGCAGGATGGAGCGGAACCAGCTGGGGATGTGCATGCCCACATGATACACCTTGTGTGTGTACTGCCCAGAGCCGCCTGGGCCATCTGTGTACGGCCGGTTCTCCAGGATCTCCACGCCGCTGCCTTCACCGTATGTCTCGTTACGGCTCTTCTTCTGTGGGGACAAAAGCACCTGCAATGTGTGTGGGGCCAGAGCACTTTTCAGGAGGGAAGGGGCACAGGAGACTGGGCCCAGGGGTGTGGAAAGGGAGGAGGGGCTTTGGTCAACAAGGCTGGCTCCTCCTATGTCACTTCCAGACCCCCAGATCTATATGCCAGGGTTTGTGCAAGAGGCTGAAGGGGCCACAGACTCCCTCTCCCAGACCTACTGCTGCACATACAAGTCCTATATTTTGACTCCCACCTGTCCCAGGACTAAAAGCATTCCCAAGATCAGGAACAAGACAAGGATGCTCACTTACTTGCTTCTCCTCAACACTGTGCAATAAGTTCTAGCTAGAGCAATTAGACAAGAAAAAGAAATAATAAGAGGCGACCGGGCACAGTGCCTCACGCCTGTAATCCCAGCACCTTGGGAGGCTGAGGCGGGCAGATCACTTGAGGTCAGGAGTTTGAGACCAGCCTGGGCAACATGGTGAAACCTCATCTCTACTAAAAACAGAATAATTGGCCAGGCATGTTGGCACATGCCTGTAGCCCCAGCTACTCAAAGGCTGAGACAGGAGAATCGCTTGAACCCGGGAGGCAGAGGTTGCAGTGAGCTGAGATCATGCCTCTGCACTCCAGCCTTGGTGACAAAGTAAGACTCTGTCTCAAAAAAACCAACCAACCAACCAACAAACAAAAAACAAAACAAAACAAAAAGAATAAGAGGCATCCAAATTGGAAAGATAGAAGTAAAACTATTTCGAATTCCTGATGCCATAATCTTATATATGGAAAATGCTAAACAATCTCCACTAAAGCCTGTTAGACCTAATAAGGTCTATAAATTCAACAAAGTTGCAGAATACAAAATGACACACAGAAATGAACAATGTCAAAGAAAATTAAGAAACAATTCCATTTATAGTAGCCTCTGAAAGAATAAATACCTAGGAATATATTTAACCAAAGAGGTGAAAGACCTGTGCACTTAAAACTACAAAATGTTGCTGAAAGAAATTAAAGTCCTAAGTAAATGGAAAGACATTCCATGTTGATAGATTGGAAGATTTAATATTGTTAAGATGACAACACTGCCCCAAACAACCTACAGATATAATGTGGTCTTTATCAAAATCCTGGCAGCCTTATTTGTAGAAATGGAACAGCTGATCCTAAAATTCATATGGAATTACAGGAGACCCCAAAGAGCCAAAACAATTTTGAAAACAAAACAAAACCAAGTTGGAGGACTCACACTTCCCTATATCAAACCTTACTACAAAACTACAGTAACCAAAAAAGTGTAGCACTGGCATAGGATAGATGAATAGATCAATAGACAGACAGATAGATAGAATATAATTGAGAGTCTAGAAATAAACCATATATCTATGATCAATTAATTTTTGAGAAGGGTGCCAAGACCATTCAATGTGGAAATAATAGTCTTTAAAAAATGGTGCTGGGACAATTGGATAACAACATGTAAAAGAATGAAGCTGGACCCTAACTCATAGCAGATACAAAAACTCGATATGAATCAAAGATTTACAAATAAGAACTAAAACTATAAAAGTATAAGATGCTTGAGAAATGGTAGTTTAAAAAAAGAAATAAAATCACAAAATGATAAAACAGAAGAAAACTGGGGCAAACAAGGTCATCTTTATGACCTTAGATTTGGCAATGCTTTCTCAAATATGACACCAAAAGCACAAGCAACAAAAGAAAAAATAGATGAACTGGACTTAATCAAAATTAAAAACCTTAGTGTATCAAAGAGCACTATGAAGAGAGAAAGAGACAACCCATCAAATGGGAGAAGACATTTGCATACCATGTATCTGACAAGGGACTTGTATCTAGAATATATAAAGAACTCCTACAACTCAATAATAAAACAAACAACACAATTCAAAAATGAGCAAAGGACTTGAATAGCCATTTCTCCAAAGAAGATATACGAACGGCCAATAAGCACATGAAAAGATGTCCGACATCACTATTCATTAGGACATGCAAATCAAAACCACCATGAGGGCCGAGCATGTTGGCTTATGCCTATAATCCCAGCAATTTGGGAGGCCGAGGCAGGCAGATCACTTGAGGCCAGGAATTAGAGACCAGCCTAGCCAACATGGTAAAACCCCATCTCTACTGAAAATACAAAAAGTAGCTGGGTGTGGTGGCGTGCACCTGTAATCCCAGCTACTTGGGAGGCTCAGGTAGGAGAATCGCTTGAACCCAGGAGGCAGAGGTTGCAGTGAGCCGAGATCGCACCACTGCAGTCCAGCCTGGGTGACAGAGCAAGACTCTCTCTCTCTCTCTTTTTTTTTTTTTTTGATATGGAGTCTCACTCTGTCACCAGGCTGGAGTGCAGTGGCATGATCTTGGCTCACTGCAATCTCTGCCTCCTGGGTTCAAGCGATTCTCCTGCCTCAGCCTCCCAAATGTCTGGTACTATAGGTGCCCACCACCATGTCCAGCTAATGTTTTGTATTTTTAGTAGAGACGGGGTTTCACCATGTTGGCCAGGATGGTCTTGATCTCTTGACCTCGTGATCCGCCCGCCTCGGCCTAAGACTCTGTCTCAAAAACAAACAAACAAAGCAAACAAACAAAAAACACAATGAGATAGCACCTCACACCCATTAAGGTGGCTAGTATTAAAAAAAAAAAAAAAAAAAAAAAAACCTGGAAAAAAGAATCAATGTTGGTCGGCATGTGGAGAAACTGGAACCCTACTGGTGGGAATATAAAATGATGGGAATGTAAAACTGTTGAAAATAGTTTAGTAGGCCAGGTGTGGTGGCTCACACCTGTAATCTCAACACTTTGGGGGGCCGAGGTGGCCGGATCACGAAGTCAAGAGTTCAAGACCAGCCTGGCCAGCATGATGAAACCCCATCGCTACTAAAAAAATACAAAAACTAGCTGGACATGGTGGCATGCACCTGTAGTCCCAGCTACTCAGGAGGATAAGGCAGGAGAATCGCTTGAACCTGGGAGGCGGAGGTTGCAGTGAGCCGAGACTGTGCCACTGCACTCCAGCCTGGGCAACAGAGTGAGACTCCATCTCAAAAAAAATAAAAAATAAAATAAAATAATAAAAAAAAAAGAAAAGATAATAGTTTAGCAGGGTAGGCATGGTGGCTCACTCCTGTAATCCCAGCACTTTGGGAGGCTGAGGCGGGTGGTTCACTTGAAGTCAGGAGTTCAACGCTAGCCTGGCCAAAATGGTGAAACACCATCTCTACTAAAAAAATACAAAAATTTGCCGTGTGTGGTGGCGCACGCCTGCAATCCCAGCTATTTGGGAGGTTGAGGCAGGAGAATTGCTTGAACCCAGGAGGCAGAGGCCACAGTGAGCCGAGATCGTGCCACTGCACTCTAGCCTGGGTGACAGTAAGACTCCGTCTCAAAAAAAAAAAAAAAAGTTTATCACTTTCTCAAAAAGTTAAACATAGCATTACCATATGACCAGCAATTCCACTTCTGGGTATGCACCCAAAATAACTGAAAACAGGGACTCGAACAGATACTTGTACACCAAGCCTTCAGATGACTCCAGCCCTACCAGCTGCTGCCAAGTATTCACAGAAAAACCTGTACAACAATGTTCGTTGCAGTATTATTCACAATAGTCAAAAGGTGTAAACAACTCAAGCGTCCATCAACAGATGAATGAATAAAATGTGGTCTATCCATACAATAATAGAATATTATTCAGTCACAAAGAGGAATGAAGTAATGCTACATACCACAACATGGATGAACCTTGAAAAGATTATATTAAGTGAAACAAGCCAGACACAAAGGACCACATATCCTGTGATTCCATTTACATGGAAAGTACAGAAAAGGAAAATATATATAGACGGAAAGTGAATTAGTGGCGGCCTACTGCTGGGGAACACGGGGGAAATGAGGAGTGACTGCTAATGGGCACAGGTCCCTCCCTCCCTCCCTCCATCCTTTCCTCCCTCTCTCCTTCTTTCCTTTCCTTCATTTTCTTTTCTTTCTTCCCTTTCTCTCGCTTTTCCTTCCTTCCTTCTTTCGTTCCTTCCTTCCTTTCTCTCCCTTCCTTCCTTCCTTCCTCCCTCTCTTCCTCTTTTCCTCCCTCACTCCTTGCTTCTCTTCTCTTCCTCTCTCTTTTCCTTCCTTCCTCCCTCCCTCCCTCCCTCTCTTCTCTCCCACTTTCTTTCTCTTTCTTTCTTCCCTCCTGCTCTGTCACCCAGGCTGGAGTGCACTGGCATGATCACAGCTTGTTGTAACCTCTAACTCTTGGGCTCTAGTGATCCTCCCACCTCAACCACCTGAGCAGCTGAGACTACAGGACCATTCCACCACACCTGGTTATTTCTTTTATCGTTTTTCTTTTCTTTTCTTTCTTTCTTTGAGACTACAGGACCATTCCACCACACCTGGTTATTTCTTTTATCGTTTTTCTTTTCTTTTCTTTCTTTCTTTCTTTTTTTTTTTGAGACAGAGTCTCATTCTGTCACATAGGCTGGAGGGCAGTGGCACGATCTAGGCTGACTGCAACCTCAGCCTCCCAGGCTCAACTGATTATCCTGCCTCAGCCTCCCAAGTAGCTGGGATTACAGGCGTGCACCACCATGCCTGACTAATTTTTGTATTATTAGTAAAGACAGTGTTTTGCCATGTTGGCCAGGCTGGACTCAAACTCCTGACTCCAAGTGATCCGCCTGCCTCGGCCTCCTAAAGTGCTGGGATTACAGGCGTGAGCCACCATGCCCAGCCATGCTCGGCTAATTAAAAAATCTCTTTTCTAGAGAATGGAGTCTCACTATGTTGCCCAGGCTTGTCTCAAACTCTTGGCCTCAAGTAACCCTCCTGTCTCAACCTCCCAAAGCTTTGGCATCACAGGCGTGAGCCACTACACTCAGCTGGTACAGGTTTCTTTTTCTTTTCTTTTCTTTCTTTTTCTTTCTTTTTTTTTTTTTTGAGATAGAGTCTCACTCTGTCTCCCAGGCTGGAGCGCAG